AAATGTGCTGGAAGTTTGAAAATGAGAGCCCCCCCCCCCATCTGGGTAATACAGTAACATTTAGAAAGGTTAGTGTTGAGTTGGAGTCCTTCAGGTAAAGGGTTTACCCACACTGAACGTCCCTTCAGCTGACATTGGTTAATTTTAGGCAGCTGCTGTAGGACCGTCTCAAACCGTTTACCGTGTTTGTTTCACGCGACATCAGGAAACCAATCAAGGTCATAGCCGACTGTTATCATCCATCTCTGTTTTTCCACATATGCAAATTTGATTAAGTTATTATTAATCAAGGCCGTCACTCAAATCAGCTGAAAAGTGGGTCACAACATCCATCTTATCACAAAATTACCTCTGCGATTTAATCTGACGACAATTAAGCACCAAGCTATTCTTCCATCCTGGCACCATTTCCTCCCTCACCACCTTCAGTTAACCTACTTTACCGAGTGGATGCAAGCCAACCGCGCATGGCTTAGCGACGCTCCGAGTCACTAGATCCATGGAGGAGTTTGAGAATGTCAACCAGCGTCAGCTGCCAGCATCCACCCAGCAAGCATGCACAGAGTAAGTGAAGCATGATCAATAATGCCAGTTGAACTACAAACCTGAGTGATTTGGTGCGGTTAATAAGTAGATAATCAGATCTATTGAACCCCTTTAAAGACAGCAGGGTGTCAGAGGAGGTGCATAACCTGCCACACACGAATCAAGTTATTTGGAAAAGTATCAAGAAAAAAAAAAAAAATCCTTCAACGCAACCACACTCGGATTGAATGCTAATAAGAGGCAGGGGTGGGCTGAGAAAACAACATGAACCTACTTATGTAAAATAACCCAAACAGCCTGCCTCCAGCACACCAACAGATCCTGTCACATTCCAGCAACAAAGGTGAGAAAACCGGAGTGTATAATTTTCTTGCATTGATCAGCAGGATTTCAGTATATGCCAAGTTTTTTTCCCCCACTTGGTGAAATCTAATTACTGGTGGGACACATTGTTCTGAAAGGGCTGTGATTTGACAGCTTCATATGAATTGCACGACTCCAGCTTTCAGATAAAATACACATTTTGCTCCAGCTGAGAAGATCAGCGCGACGTTTGTAGGGAAACTTTGACCGAAGGACTCTGAGATTATTAGTTCTTAAAGACCAAAGCTGCCCTCCACTCGAGCCTTTTGTGCTTTTCTTTCAGTGCTAATGGTTTTACTAAAATTAGCCACAAAATAATCGCCTAATAATGGGAAGGTGCACTGAGAAAACTGCTCTGACCCAGGCAGGGACGTGGGACGTCTGCAGGTGTCTAGCAGGTAGCAGCAGAGCTTTTGATCCACGGAGACTCTTGATGACCCACAGGACTCAATCTTGTTAGAGGGCAACCTGTGGATGCTCGACTCAGGAGTTTGGAGACTTGGGCTCTTTGCTGTGTTCCTTCAACTGTATGTGGAGACCATCTCCCTGCTGCTGCTGTCAGGGTGGGTGCTTGGTCTGCAACATGGCGTTTCCGACGTGTCAAAGAAATGAATCAAGGACCCAGGATTTGCCGGAAGGACATCACATCGTAACAAGATCACTGATGTTACGCACCTGTCAATAGTTTCAGTGTTGTGGTAGAATATACAAGGCACACCAACACGATTCAGATTTAGTTAGAGCTAACTTTATTTGTAAGTACAGAGAACATATATCACTTTATTTTTATTTTTGAGATGCAATCCGTTTTCCTTCTTTTGCAATCCAGCTCAGAGTCTCTCAAAGGACCCAAACATACTGAGAACAGGTAAATGTAAACTACAACAGTAAACTAGAAAGAAATGTAGATTTAGAAGACAAACGAACCCTTGATAAATGTGAACATTTGGTGTAATGGAGAAAGAAATCAGCAGGCAGTATTTCTGCTAAATAAACAGCTTTGTTTCATAAAAAAAAGACGTGATACAAGGAAAATGGAAATGTCACAGACCCTATTTTCATATTCTGACAGCTCAGCTGTAGATAGCATGAGCTCCAGAATAGGCTGACATTATATCCCCTTGTCTGAAACAAATAACATTTTCCAGCTGTGTGTACTTTTTCTCCAATTTATTCTTCTTTCCCCGAGACAGAGCAGTAGTACATTGTCATAAGCATGTCTGTTAGAATGATTGCTGGCTAAGACAAAGAGAAGCCTTGAAACTTTATTGCATGAACTGCTGTTATCATCTAACATGTGCAAATATACACAGAGGGAAGCGACAGGGGGATGGAGGGATAAATGAAAAGGTGGTTGGGTAGATGAGGCAGAGAAAGCAGGTAAGCGAGGATCGCTAACCAGAAGAGGAGGCGGGAACTTTAACATTACTGCGCAACAGCTTGTCAGAAACACTTATTCATAAAAAAAAAATCCCACCAATACAAGTTTGTCTCTTTGAAAAGAGTCAAACATGATAAACCAGGAGATACAGCGAGGCACTGCAGTGGCCTGGGAGAGCGAGGAGACAGAGTCCCAATTAACTACGGCGTCGCTGCTCAGTATTGATGCACGGTTCGAAAGCGGATTCATTCTCAGAGGTAATGGAGCAAAACTGCTGGAAATAATCCAGTGCAGTACAAAGTGATATTTTAATTTTGTCCCCCAATCAGTGTATTCTGTGAAGGAGCACAGATGATCTGGGGAAAGGAATCTGCTGTGATCTCTCTCCTGGCTCGCTGTCCCAAACACTGCATGCTTCACTGCCTTATGAGCAAACATTGACACTTTCTGCAGATGATGTGTGATTGTTCTGTCACCGGTCAGAGTAATTCAACATTCAGTCATCGCTTTTTAGGGTGAAAGGCCTGCAGGAAAGACTGGGGCAAAACTGAGTCTAATTTTTGTTTATTCTCACTGGTTTTTAAATGTGCTGGACAGTGATTATAGAGCTAAAACCACAGTCCTCTGCACTAGATTAGATTTATTTGCTGTGATCCAGACAGCACTTAGGGGCTAGTTTGGATATTTTGCATCAGAGTATGGTGTGCATGTGAATACATTTAAATATCAGCTGGTGTGTTATGGGGGAGGGGTTGAATTTGCTCTCATACGCGTGCACATTGACTCATTGGTACAAACACACCCACATAGATGTATAAAGCAGAGTGCTGCTGCTGCTGGGAGTCTCCAGAGTCCCTTATTAGTCCGGCTAATTTAACATCATTTGACAGAGAATTAATCCATAAATTAATCAGCAGAGCCTCAGAAAATAACATCACATGGCTCCATTACAGCACCATGTAATCCCATTTACACCTAGCATTGAAAATCCCCATGCAGACAGACCATCCGCCATAATCTCTGGTTCTGAAGAGACCGTCAAACTGCTTCTCTGACAACTTTTCCAACATCACACAAACCAGACACTCTAAAAAGACCTCAAACGCCACGTCTGTGTCGACATACCTCTAAATATTCATACAGATACGCTTTGAATTAAGAGCCATGTTCAAACCAACGCTAATCCGATTTGCATATATCCACATTTTGAGGGTGGGTGGGGGTTAAAATCAGACATGAGTAAGAAAACACCTGCAGAGATCTTTTAAAAAAGGAAACCACTTACTTTCACTGGCCTTCGACATGAGATGTTTCTGGTGCGCCCTTGTCAACAAGCCATCTTTATTGTGCTTCTCTTCTTGCAATAAAACCCCATAAAAAACTATGGTCTAAAAACCAGATGGACCAAATGTGATTTCATTCTTCAGCCCCTCAGTGTACTGTGCTGTCATTTCTAAGGAAATGTTGGGGAGGGGGGGTTGTGCCTAAATGCTACAGTGATTACACATTCCCAGAATGCACCGTGAACAAAGAAAAACAATGAAGATTGTTCCCATATGAGCAACAGCGACTGTGTAATACATCCACAAGTCTATTCTTCTCTTTTGAAACCAGCAAAGTATGAAATCACCGAGCAGTCAGAGACAAAAAGTTCAATCTACTCACGTTGAATGTGTGAGGCAACAGCAATGCAAGTAGTTAAACCCTGTTAGCGTTAGATACGTTTAGCTCACATTAAGACTAGATTAAGACTTCAGCAGTGGAATGTATCACACTTCAAATATATGATCTTACTCTAAAATATTTAATGCTATTTTCCACAAGTTGACGGATGTGCGCAAAGATGCCATTATTTGAGTTAAATACCACAACTATGGAATTACTTTAACAGGGGACTCAGTAAATTTCTTCTAATCAATACACCGTTTTGGACTGTCGTACATTTTTGCTCCCATCAGGTATCTGGATATGAATACGGCCTCAATGTGCATCCCCCAGTGCACCCAAAGGAATATGTACATATCTAGGGCCACAAACGCCCGTCTTCCTCTTCCTCCTCATTTCTCTCCCCATTTCTCCAGCTGCCACCATTTCCGGGATCATATCGTCTGAACGCCTGCCTCCTGCCACTCCTCCCCTGCACTCTATTCTTCAATTTCCAGTATCAGGTCATCTCCCTCCAGGGAAGCATCGGGTGTGACATGAATAGCCTTAATGGTCCCAGCCATTGGGGAGTTGACCACAGTCTCCATCTTCATGGCAGAGAGGACACACAGCGGTTGACCTTTCTCCACCTGTAAGAAGTGCAAGCACAGCTCAATAAAAAAATGTCAAATGTACAGATCGATGAACAAAACTAGCTGGTTTAAATTTGGATGTTTATGTCTCATGAAACTCTGAAATTTAGATTCTACTACAGCAATGTCTGAGGTTTTTCTCTTTAGTGCGCACAAGACTCTTCTGACGATGTCTCAGGTTCAGCGTGCACTACTTCCAAGCACTTTGTTCTCCAATGTGCCCTTCTCTCGCTTTGAACACATTTGTCCTGTTTGTTATTTATTCCCACTGTCTTGCTATTTATTTACAGAAAAGAATTTTGCTGCTGAGGCCAAAGAGACAATCTTTGAAAAAAGGACTTGTATTGACTCAACGGGATCAGATCAAGTATCCAAATGTTAGAACATTGAGAGCAATTACAAAAAGCAGAAGTACTTCAATTGAAATGAGAGATCACATGATGAGGAGGGAAAAACTGTAAAAACCCTAAATCGACTGACCTTGGATCCAACTTTTACTTTGACCTCTAGGACCTTTCCAGGCATCGGTGCTCCCACCTGACCCCGGATGGACTTCTGAGCTTTGGGATGGAACTTCATTTCCTGGGTGAAGAGACGAGACAAAAAATAACGCATCCATCTGTCTGGTCAGTCACTCTTCCAAGTACCCCCACACACGCCTGTCGCCGTTTATCCACTCATCCAGGCAGTGATCTATCCATATAGTCATAACTGCCCATTGAAATGTTCCTCCCTGCTGAGTCCCCTTCTACACTTCACAACCATCTGTTTCTATGAATAAAAATCACTAGGGATAGACTGTCTGTCACGAAATCTGTTTTTCTTTTCAAATCCGACTTCAACGTGCCAAACAATTTTCAAGAATCTTCCCTTGCATGCTTTATACAATTATAATTCAAGGATATCCATCTTTCACTCAAACTATCCAGTCTATCGGTTATTCATCATTTACCAACTCGCAAGTTTGTCCTTTGATTAAAAGTATTAATTTCTCTGCAACGTCATCAACCCGTCCACTTTCCCAGCTGTATCTCACGTCTCTCCCCAAACATTTCCTGCGTACCTTCATGGCGACTGTGTCTTTAACAAGCACAGATCTCAGCTGTCCGTTGAGCTCAAAAAAGACCTCTCTCTGCCCGGCCTTGTTCAGGTCACCCAGTGCCAAGGCCTTGATGTGGAGGATCTTCCCTCTCTCCAGCTCCACCTGAAACACAACAGAGAAGATGAGAAGAAAGCAAGCAAAATTAAAGAGGGGACGGTGTGCAGGAGGAAGCGACGGCGATTATATTGCATTAGATGACTGAAATTAACACATGGATACTCAGTTCACAAGTCCAGCTGCAGCAATAAAAGACTGCAGAGCCTGTTGGAGGAGAAAAAGTTAACTTAGGCAGACAATATTTCCTCCTCTTCCTGAGTTCTTATTGCTTTTAGGGCGGGCTGAAAGCAATAAGACATCCTATGTCTGTGAGAATTTTTATTTGACACTCAATAAGAGCGTTTTTTTTTTTTAAGCGGTTTTTAAAAACCACATCCAGTTAATTTCCTGCATCTATTTTACCTCTGTGCTTTTTACTTAACCTGCGTGTGCTGAAGTGTGTTTGTGTAAGACGGCGAACAAAGAATTGCCCCCGTTTACAGGAAGCACCTTACATGTTAGCTCTGTTGCTAATGTGGTGTATGTGTTTGGGAAGCGCTGAGCTCAAACCACTATAAGTGCCAACCATTTAGACTAAGGGCTGTGGGTTAATACTGCTCTTAACATAATAGTGTAGTGGGGTTAAAAAAACAACAAACAAAAAAAAAACAGGCTTATGCAAATTTCTTAATCACAGCCTAAAACATGCTTTGTGTGACACTTCTTTGAACGGCAGTTTGGAGTTTAAATTGTTGCTAAAATCGCTTTCTGCTATCAGAGAATCATCAAATGTACATTTTTTGATAGATTCAATCTGTGTTTTTAGTTCACACTGCAGGCAGTGTCCCTTCAAATGAACTGAACCAAGTGTGCAAGCACTTTAAACCACACAAATAGGCCGTAAGCATAAAAACGTTCCCATTTAGTTCAAAGTCTCTGCAATATTTTTTTAAACTTGTTAGCTATAACAATGGGAAACATCAATAATTCCGTCTATAAAGAAGAAAACACAACTAAGCAATGATGCAATGGTTTGTGAGGAGGACTAATGTACTGTATGCACATATAATTACAGTGTTTTTAATTCACTTTGCTTTTGTAATAATGTGAGTTTCCTAACTGCGGGACAAATGCAGGCTCTTTCATGCTGTACGTGTTGGTCAGAACTGGAAGCTTTGAAAGTTCAGTCATTTTAGACATTTCAGACATAAACACTATTGTGAAAATACACAAAGGATCATTTTAAATGCCGTCTATCCATCCATTTTCTTCCGCTTGCACTCGACAATTAACCCAGTCCCTGGACTATGGGAGGAAACCAGAACACCCAGAGAGAACCCATGCAGACATAACAAAACTGGCACACCGGCTGCATTCAAACCCAGGACGTTCTCACTGTGAGGTGACAGTGCTAACCGCCACACCGCTGCACTGCCCTGGTTTTCAAAAAAATCCTTTGCAGCCAAGAACTTGTGGACATCACCACATGGTGTTTTTCTCCCCTTGAGATGCTCGGCCAGGCCTTCACTGCACCTGCATCGAGTTACTGCTCAGTTTTGTCTTCATGCACTAAAGAGCATCCTCTGCTGGTTCGTGATCAGGTGACTGACATGACCGTTGAAGAATATCACATTTCTTCGCCCCAAAAACTCGGCACTGTGAAACGTTGTCCAATCGGTTGTGCAGCATTTGGCTCAATCTGAGCTGGCCAGTGCATTCCTAATTTTCTAAGAATGCACTACATAGCTGATTTGGCTCCTTTTTTCCTGTGATACTTTTATTTTGTTTGTTTTTTTGCTTGATGATGACCACCTTTACTTGCATCAACATCTTTCTGCACCTTACATTGAGAGTTCCAGTGAACACCTACCATGTGCAAGTGCAACACTTGAGATCAACTCTGAATCTTCTACCTGCCTTCTCTATCATAGAATAAAAATGGAGCAGGGCTCATCTGACCTTGAAAAAGAACGGCAGTAAATAATTTAAGTCCTGTAAGTATTTCTTTTTTACACCTCTTAAAGTGTTTGGTCTGTAAGCAGTGCTGCAATTTTGCCTCTGTCTGTCAAATGTGACAGAACCACAGAGTACTTAATAGAAAGCAACTGTTGATTCAATCAAGAGAAGCGGTGCATTTCTATAATCTAGCTCCAAATCTGACCCAGGGAACCCCAATTTGATGACTCCTGTTCTTTGCCCACTGACCTGCAAATAAAACACAGCTGTCACCTATGAGGAGAGTCTGTGTTTGGCCTACAGTCTGTAAGCCGTTTGATTCAAGTTCATTTTCTCCAGTCTTTTGAATATTCATACACCAGTTTGTGCCTATTTATGTCAAAGAAAACTCAAATCCCAGGCGCCAGGTGGCAGTTATATAATGCACTCTGGTGTTCTGCATACTCGTCCAATATTTTTTCTCCTGCAGATAAACTTTTCTCATGCGACACCATCCCCCGCTGAGTCAACTTGCATATAGAGCCACGCTTCTGTGCTCTTTTGTGATTTGAATAGCTCGTATTTCAACTCGGTCAAATCTGTCTGCACATTAAAAACATGTCACACACGCCTGTGTTTTCGAATCATTTAAGGAGTCATTTTTCTTTCACTGAAAATCAGATTCATAAGGTTAACTGACAACCTCTCAAATGACCTCCGAAAACACGAGCGACTCAAATGATTGGCTGTGAGGTTTTTTTTGTTTTTCTTTTTAAAACAAAAACCTATTATTGTACTCTGGCCCCTTTTCTCCAGCAGGCTCCTGGGTGGTTGTCAATCTGCTTCTAGTGCTATAAGAGCAGGAGGAGGAAATGCTGCGCTGCTACTGACTGAGATCACACAACTGTGTCGTCTGTGTGTGTGGTAGAATTTATTCTGTTCACCAAAAGTTTCCATTTTGGCCCAAAATTCATGTTTTGGGAGTGATGCAGAAAAATATCCCAATTCATTTATATATTATTTATTTATTTATATATTTAACACAAAATGTGGGTTTCCATCTGCTGTATATACATATACATACAGCCATATTCATTCTGCACATGTCCTCTGAGGCTAGAAACTGAATCGGTTTTTACTTTTACCAGACATGTCAATTCAGACATCAAATAGAGGAGACGTGGTATAGACAGAATGGCAATTAGAGAAATAAAGAGGCAGGCAGGGGGAATGACAGACATGACAGCGGGCCAGAGGAGGCGAAAAATGCTTCCTGTCTTTTGCACAGCTGATAACTCTGTTGTTTGCTACCTGTGAGTGTGTCTTAAGACAGACGCGCCTCATCTCTGAAGCACAAGCAGGTCGACCACCTTCTCATATCAATTCTGGTCAGTCGTGCTTTCTGGCTTGCCGGTCTTCCCCTCGACACCAGCCGCCCTACTTCTTCATTTATCTCACAGCCCTTCTCAAATCTCTCATCTCACTGGGTGGAAACTCATTTTTCCCCGTCTTCCTATTTGTCCAACTTTTTCTCTCTGGCTTTCAATCTCGCTCTTTGTCAGTCCTCCCATGTGTCACGGCTTTCTATTTTGTATTGTTATTTTGCTACCTATATTCTGGGGCCACTGCGACTCTCATGCCATTATTAATTTCCATCATCTGCCTCTTTCGGCTTCTCTTATCTGTTGTGTAGCTCTCCGCGTCTCCTACTTTGTTTATGCTTCCCTTCGTACCCCACACTGCCATCTGAGCTGCTGAGTATCCATTGATATTCCAAACTAAACCTCAGCGCAAAGACAAAAATACACGATGCTGCAGATATGTATTGATCTTAATTTTATTCTCTTTCTCTGGGTGCTCCGACTCTTTCTTTGCAAGCTTTTGCCTTCTCTCTCTCTCTTCTTCACATTCCTTTACACTAAACTTCTCTGCAGCTGATGCTGTTTTGTTAGGCCCTTGACAGCGCTTTGCAAAAAACACAGCTGCCTACCTTTTTCCATCTGTGTGTCTTCTACACTACATCTCCTCTCAGGCGTTCCTATATAAAACACTAACTGCATATAAGAAGAGTTTCTAACCATTTAGGAATCTTTTGATTATTTTGTTAGAGATGTGAATGTATAAGCAACTATAAAATCCAACACTTCTGTGTGCTGTCTGCAGCCGCCACCTTTGTTGCATAAGCTTCTCTACATTACACCTCTTCTATTGTTTCACAGTTAACCACCTACAGTCTTCAGGTTCTGAGCCCTACAGATAAGCAAGAGAAGTTATTTAAAGTCAGTATACCTACTAAAACAACTGCACACCTCAGACTTAGGATCTTCTTAGAATTAGTATGTATAACAAATTCTTCTGCACTTAACAACATCAGATAAACTACATTGATGGTTTCAAAGCCAATAAAATACTTTTAGACCAAACACTCAGCTGCTTCCTGCTTTGGTTTCTTACCACTATACTGGTTTTTGTGTCTCACATACACACATCATGAATCTCTTCTAACCCAGCGACACATTAGTGCTCTTCTCGCCTTTACGCACCAGCCTCCTGTCAGACTCACCTGCTTAGCCATTTTTGTTTATCATATCCCTGCGTTAAACAAGTTTCCCTTTCTGCTTAACACGATGTCTTTGATGCGACTTTATTAATGACTTGTGTCGCCCGTGACAGTAATGAGATTATGTGTCGGTGTCTGCGCACATTAGCGGTGATGGTCGGTAAATAAATGACTCCGTGTTTGTGAAAATCTGTGTTTATATTTCTGTCAAACATGATTAATAGCACACTGAATCATCAGCACATGCCAGATACACGTAAGGCGATGTCGCCCTCCGCCTCTTTTTAGTGCTGTATGCATGTGTGGGTGCATGACTGCTATGGACTGACCAGTAACCCGTGAGTAGGTGTATATTTATGTATGTGTGCACATTAAAAAAGGCATCAGATGTTTGTTTTTCTCCAAAGTGGTAACTTCTCTTATAAGAGGGACATGTGTAAATGGCCAGCGCAGCAGGACTCAGCAGGATTCATAAAAATAAATACAAATCCGATCATAGTTCTCTACAATGTTCAGAACAAATGTTTGAGGCTCGCTTTCCTTTCTTGGCCTATTCGCTAGATTTCCAACA